CGTACTGAAGTAACGCAAGATTACAAGGAATGCGATATGATAATTCAGCACTGCAAACGTAAACCTTGCTTATATCACGTAATAGGCTTCTTTCCTAATAAATAATGTAGAGGATATCAGTTATTAATTATTATTCAAATAATTTTTTTATATTAATGTTTTAAGCGCCAAAAATTAAACGAAAGCACTCTCGTGTTGTGTTGTTGATTTGGAAATCAAAATTCAATTAAAATTTTTCGCAAGAAAATGCTTTTAAAGTGAAGTGGGCGTATTTTTTTAATAAACGCCAAATTATCGAAAATTCTGCTAAACATTAAACTACTCCGTATTTTTAAGCGAGAAGAAAATAATCTAGAGAGATTGTGATTAAGTTTGAACAAACTCTTAAAAATCACATACATTTTCCGCCCCTATCGCTCCAAACATTCTGACAATAGATGAAGGACAATGTTTCTTATTTAATTGGGTTCACTTTATGCGTCACACAAGCACATCAATTGATACTGAAATAAAAGAGACCTCAGTGCTTGCATTCACCCGCGTACTCCCTTCATGTATTTGTCACAAGTTTTGGTATAAGTACTATTAATAGGTTCTATTCGCAACAATCAGGAAAACAGCCTATTTAAGTAATGTTAAAATCTACAGCAGTGGCAGATCCAGGGGGGCCACGCCCCTCCCACTAAAATACCTAGAGTTGTCGTTTGCTACCTTCCTTTATTTGGCAAAATTGATTTAAATATTTATTTATGTTATTTAAAATAAAATTGAATAGTATAGTATATACACTACAAAGATAATATATAATATAATAACATATGTTTATTATTTAACAAAAGTCTATGATCCCCCACCAGTGATCGGCTGCATACGCCCCTATTCTTCAGTTGGTTTTCAAAAAGATAAAATTGTCAAGAATCAAATTAGCATAGTCCCTGGGAAATGCAATTGTATTTGTACAACGGTTGCAACGGTTTAAAGCTCGAGTCCTCGCTCGAGGTCGCACGCGCACACAGGATTCCCACGCCCGCGGCATCTTGACAGACGTTTCAGTCGCTATCACTCCACACATTCTGACAAAGAAAAAGGAAAATGTTTCTCATTTAATCATGCTCACGGCGTGCGATACAAGCGCACATCAATGGAACTAAAATAAATTGAACTCCGCGCTTGTTCTTTCACCACGTGCTTCATGCCTTTGACACCATTTTGGTGGCAATACAACGCACAGGAAAACATTAAAAAACACTCCAAAACGAGGAAGCAATATGAACCTTCCTGTAACAGCGACATAAAACACAATTCTTGGAATCACTTGTGACCGAGCATCACAACGCAGTACACACTCTACAAAAGTGCAGAATGCACCGGTAGAGGTGTGTGTGTGTGTGTGTGTGTGTGTGTGTGTGTGTGTGTATATGTTGCCAACACACGCAATATGGACACATTGCCTTCCAGATCGACGTCCATAAAGAGTTTAAACCTTTTGTTAGATCTACATCAACACTGTGTTTTAATTTGTTCGAGACCACGGCGTTAATTCAGGTTTTCCGATTTAATCGCTAGATCACTTACAATTATACTTACAATGCATTACATTGATTTCTCTGTAGATAGATCTATATTGTAAAGTAGCGAAAACACGGATGGATCAGGATAAATTAACTAACGTTTTTTAAATGATCGCCGCTTCAGCTCCTTCAGAAATGTCTTTTTAATGCTTAAAACCTCCCAACACGTTTTATCGAGAGCTACTGGACCAGGCAATGCTTCGCTATTGCAATGTATTGAACTTCACTCGCTACTGATAACGTGATTATTAATCATAATCACGCTCTGCAAAAAAAATTAATAGATGAACGACTTTCTCCCGAGAATGGGTTTGTTCAATGTCCTGGTTCGAATATGGTTGTCACGTATTCTATTGTTAGAACGTTCTCCTTCAAATTTGGGCATGCATTCGCTCTGACATTGTCATGAAAAAAGGTTGGGTTTATTTGTGCGAAATGACGTTCAAATAAATATCCCTGCCGATGTTTCACAATCGCAGGGGCGGAATAAGCAGCGAAGACGCGCTTCATTGTTGGGGATGAGGTGGGTTGCGTGAAGCTTGGGTTCAGGGGTGCTTGAGTCTGCGTAAATACATAAATCAACAACACCCCTATTTTCCGAGTATGTGCGTCAGGCATATGTACATTCCCATATTCTTCGCGCAAGTGCACGCAATAAGTTGCAAAGTGTTATCGCAATCGAATGAACAGTACTGCAGCGCTTAAAATACCAACAAACCAACCAACATTAATTTTTACATGTTAAGTGTTGATAAACAGCTATTTTGAATGGCTATTATGTATTTAAGAACGGTTTTGCTCGATCATGTACCCATACAATTAGAAACATAATACATATAAAATACAGAGATAGAGGCACAGGTGCAGACACACAGAGACAAGACAGACACACAGAGACAGACCGACAGAGACAGAGACCAAGATAGACGATAGAGTAGATAGATAGAGAAGCAGAGAATAGAAATAGAGAGAAAGAGAGGATAGATAGATAGATAGATTAGATAGATTAGAGAGAGAGAGAGAGGAGAGAGAGAGAGAGAGAGAGAAAGAGAGAGATACAGAGACACGGAGAAAGGGGTGACAGGGACTGAAAGACAAGACAGACAGGGAAAGGGACAGAGAGAAGGAGAGCGAAAGGGGGAAGGAAGGAGAAAGAGGGAGCTGAGGGTAGGACAACGTATTCCGAGTTCCACTAGTGTTATATATACTTCTAAAAAGGTTCAGTATTTGAAGTAATTTCCGGTCACTTGTAAGTAGAACATATTGCTCAAGAGCACGGGCACGTGCGCATGGATGGGGCAAAAGGAAAGTGCGCTATTTTCTCGTCATTTCAATGGAACACTTGAGGAGTGCTCTGTAGCCTTGAATAGCTGATTGTGACGTAAAGGAAATGTGAACCAAATGGGCAGCAGTTCACACAAATATCAGCTGTTTAGGTCGTGAGTATTGGCAACGATCGTGCATTTACAACACGTCTATGGAAAATACATAGGAAAAAGTATCGTTCAGCCCTTTCTCTCACTTCTTTGGCCCTTGATTCCCCAAACGCCTTCCTGTCGCTCCGTCTGCGAGCAACACTGGCGCGTCCCACTAAACCCGTCACAGGATTTGCACCCAAATTGATATTCCTCACTTGATCTTGTCAATGTCGTGGCCCCCAAATTTGAACCGAATATTTTATTTTTGAGGGTTAATTTTTGCATTGATTGATTCACTCGTGTTTGAGCGTCAAGGACTTTACTCCCCTAAGTGTGGTTGCGCCTGCCAGCTGGGTTCCAGCCCTGTCAAGGAAGGCTCTACGCTCCCACCACGCGTAGTGGTGTTGCGAGTGGCAGTGGAGTGCAAGGAGGAAGACGCAGAAACGATAGCGCGGTGACGCGACCCGTTTGTTAGGGTTCTTCCTACTCCGGCATTCCCTTAGTGTTAATCGGAGCGAGCAATGAAAACTTCTGATCAGAGCACCTAGTCGCTAGAATTCTCCTCCAGGCATGTCGATTAAATTCGCGGCTAAATTCGACACAGCTATCTAGCTAGGGTCCAAAATCCTGCCCCCCTCGGGACTCGAATCCTAGGACCTTCCGAGACGATGCCCTGAGCCACCTCTACCGATTTACGTCTTGGAAATATTTTACAAAAATCCCAAACAAATTCTTGAAATGTTCTCAGAAATGGCTCCAAATGTTTAGTCTAAAACTTTTACTTGAATAAATCACTGTTATAAAAACAACGCCGGGTGATTTTCTTTACCACCGTCAATTTTTTGAAAATTGCAAGAGAAACGTTTTTCCAAATCCTTCCACCAACTTTGTTATTGAAGATAGATATTTTTATCTTAAAAATCCTTTCTTCATAGTTAGGTCTTTGAATAATGTCATGTTAAATCTTTTCAAAATGTGAGTAGCTTTCGTGTAATTTGGATTGAAACAGAGACATTTAAAAAAGTAAAGATTTTGTCAGAAAGCTTTCAGTTTTGTAAATATATTTTGCTAAAATATAGGGAAGACATAGTAATCATATGTCATTCAATTCTTTTAAACATTTAGTATAAAGATAGACATATCATTGTTAACGCAGTTATTCAACATAATAACGCATAGTATATTACTTGTAAATATGAAAACTATATGTCCTATAATATCCGAGTAACCTGCGCCATCTGTCCGTCCTCCGTTTCTCGCGCAGAGCGCCCTTCCCGTTCACCAATTGAGACAAACGAACTAGAAGTGCTGCGTGAACCACGTGTCCCAGCGCCATTGCCTGGAGGCACAAGCAGCTGTCATTACAGCTAAATATGATGCCATTGCGGTGGTCCCAAGCACCCAGGCGCTGAATGGCATAGGTTGCTAGAGAACGATGAATGACACAGGAGGTTATCGCACGGCTGCCGCTGTTTACTGTATACGACGCAAAACTTAGATCATTCGGAAGGTACAAGTGTATCGTCTGTGTTGCCGCCCTCATAAGATAATTGTCTTTTAAATGATAATGCTGTTATTTGTAGCCAATAATGCTAATAGAAAAGGAGCTTGCAAATGGACACGCTTTCTTTAAAAAGGCGCCTGATAATAAACTGACATAATGTACTCCTTAGAACAACTCTTCTCGTTGGGATGGTAGTTCGCATTCTGGGTAGAGGCTGTAGCCCGGAGGAACATCCGACAAGAGCCGTGGGCACCCTTTTTTATTTCATTTTAATTCTTAGGAGATTACTTTTTATGTATTACGCCCAGGGATGAAAGAACCAAACAACTGTAAAGTTTCTTTTTATTAAGAATTTGCGTAGTAGATATTTTGAACATATGAAAATCTTTTTAAAACAGTTTAGTATTCGAATTACCTCGAGTGTCCGTGCACTGCTTAAGCGGTAGTGAGGACGTCAAATGCTGTCGCGAGCGAAACGCCCGTTCGAGCGCCCTTCTGTGTGCGCAGCACGGCGCGCCGACGGCCGCGCGCGACCTGCGCGGGAACACGGCGCTGCACCTGGCGGCCGGGCGCGGCTTCGTCCGCGTGGCGGCGCTGCTGCTGGCGGTGCCCGGCGCCGACGCCAACGCCGCCAACGCAGACGGCTGCACGCCGCTCCACGTGGCCGTCGACAGCGGCTTCGTGGCAGTCGTCAAGGTGCGTCTCTGCTGCAGAGCCTTAACACACAATTTAGCTGCTACATCGCACACACACGACCATTTCGCCATTTTGCAATCAATTTCGCATTTAAGCACAGACTGAAAATCTTCAGAATTCTGCACCGATCCTCAAATATTAAGTACTAATTTTTTCGACGTTTGGTAACACTCAAGAAGTTTTAGCAATTGCTAAAATGCACTATCTAACTCGAGTGTTTGGGTTCTAGGTGGGTCGCGCCTTCCCTAGTGTGTGAGCAGCACTTATGAAAAAGCGTAAAAATGTAGGCTAAGTTAAAAAAAAAAGCTGTATAATTTTTACATTTTTTTATATTAAACGAAATTGTTTACTAGTTACAAATGTAAGAACTCTCTTTTGGTGTTAAATTATGAATCGAAAAAATACACTAATAATAAGTATAAGTAATACAATACAATTTTCGGAGATTTCGCGTTATAGAATATCGATTACTTTTATTACTCATGCGGCAAATGTAAAGTCGCCGCTCGGCCTCGGTCAAAAGTCGGTGTAACACCATCGAAATTTCCTGTTTTCTCAGGTCCAGTACCATTCATACACAAAATTTGTAAAGTATTTCACGTAATCAAAGCAAGTCCTTATTACCTATCACTGATGTCATCTCACTTATTTCCCCTCGATATAACAAAATTAACAATACGTGATTAACAAATAACAATTGTGCCTAAAAAGTACATTGTATCGAAATTTCAGGAAAAAAAAGTCATAAATGTCTATATAATGTCCCTGACTTTTAAAGATTCTTCTGAAGAGTTATCTTGACTCTTCCACATCAGTGCAATCAATGTAGCTTTTTTCGATTTTCCAAAGAGCTACATGGCCATCATGTGCAAGTCCGTGGGCGTCCCATACAAATCTATGCTTCTCTCTCCCCCTACCAGAGTGAAATTACGTATATAGAGATGAGGAAACAAAAAAAGATGATAAAAATATACGGAAGTACCCCTTTTTCAATATGATCTTAAAACAAAGTATTTCGTGATTTCTTCCCATTGGTAGTTCATTGATAAAGTATTTATCACGTAATTCAGACAAATCCGAGATAACCACACGCATTTCATAGGTAAATTCATTGTAATCTCGGTACCTCGCAAAACTTTTTACGCTCAAAATTATATAAGATTAAGGTTTATTTTATCGGGTAGTTTTCCGAGTTTCTTTCACAAATTACACAGACCCTAAATCATTTGTGACTGGGGAGGATCATGCTTCTCAGGAATTATATCACGAAAGGTTTATAGAGGAAATGAAATATTGTTAATTTTAATTGCATATTAAAGGGCATGTTTCAGAATTTTTAGATCATAAATTCATCTTTTCAAACGCATGTTTCAAGAATTTCTAGAGCATAAAAATACGCTCTCTAATTGTAACGTTGGAAAGGACAATTATTGTGACATTCAATTATTATAACACTCATTATTATATTATAACATTATTGTAACACTCAAGAGAAAAAGCAGTACTTCAATAACAGTAATTGTCTTTGATTCTGGATATTACTGAATATAATGTTTGTATATCCTGGATCAATTCTGATTAGGAAAATTAATCATAAGAAAAACAGGTTTCGAAGAATTGCGAAAAGTTTTTATTACCTCTTTTTCTAGAATATACTCGGTATTACCTAATACAGTAAAATCTGTCTAAACCGGAATCTGTACAAGCTGTAAATCTGCCTAAACTGGAAAATGTCTCAGGCCCGTGCACTTATATGATATTTTACAGAGCGCTAAACGGAATCTGCCAAACAGGGAAACAGAAGCGTTTTTCATTTCTTGTAGGCGAGAAAAATCTTTATAAAACGGAATTCCTATGCGATTGGCGCAGATGCAAGGTATTTTTAATGTAATGAATGCATCTGCAAATCAGTATTAAATTCTCCATCGATTTAGTTGTGGCAACCGCTCTGTGAAAGAAAGGGGCTTCAGCTTAGAACTCGCCCTGGGGGCCAAGGCGTAGGCCGTTGGGAAATCCCCTCCCCCTCCTCTCTGAGCGTGGGAAGGAGTGCTTCTATGGCATGGCTTCTATTCACACCTCTCCCTGCCCCACATTCAAAATCGTAACCCGTCGGTCAGACACACATCGCTGAAGGCCATGCGAGGGTATCCGAAAACCATAAAACTCAAGCATTCTCTAACATTAGATGAAAAGGTCAAACTTTTGGAAGCAAGAGAAACTCAGAAGCTGTCAGTGAAGAATATTTAATATTCATTGATTGGTGATTTCTTCCATAAATACATTATATGTAAATCTATTTTAATAATCATATAATTTTCACTTTACTTTAATTAATCTTTAATTAGTTTTCTCGTTTCAGAACGGAAATATGAATATAAAAATCGCCATTAAATGGGCAACTCTGCGTAAAACAGAAACCTCCCTAAACAGGTCCTTTTTTTGTCCCGATCGATTCCGGCTTTAGACAGATTCAGATTTTACTGTATTAAGTTATGCATTGCTACATAAAAAAACAAATAATGAGACTGTGATAGAATTAAGTGTTGGGGTATCTAGATACCAAAAGTGTGTTTAAGCAAAATGCCAGCCACTCTGTTCATCCATGAACACCATCACCTAGACAATACAATGGTGTTTTTTTCAAAATCTATGCTCCCTGAACCTTTGGCCCTGCAAATTTGAAATGGATTTTTCCATTTTTGGATGTGTATTACTTTTAGCCCAAAGAGTAATATCAAAATTTTCCGAAAAATAGTTCTGAATTTTTTCTTTGAAATGATTTTATATTTTGCTCAAATAAACAAAACTGCTCATATATAAATAGCAGCATTAAAACATCAATTTCATTCATCATCTATCAATTTGCAGTAATTAAATTCAAATTTTCAATAACTGCAAGACTTTAAACTTTTTCAAAAATAAGTTTTTCTGAACTCTCTTAACACTTTCATTAATAAAGCTACAAATATTTTTCGTAATGAAATATATTGTTTCATATTAGCTCATAAATTAATTTAGGCAATGTTTTCTTTTCAAATATTGTTTGTTTTTTCATGTAATTTCGATTTAAATCCTGGCAATTCACAAGTACATAGACAAGATTATCTCAGAATAGATTACTATTTTTTCTCTGAACTCACATGCAAAGATATAAAATAACTAATTTGTATGACACAATTGCCAATTGCATTAAATCTAGTATGATAAGTTAATATTTACATTACAGATCTATATCATGGTTTTTTAATGCTTTTAAATTATCTCAAAGTGCTGTGTAATGCCAAAGTTTGAGAATAAGAGGACTAAAAATGGTGCCTTTTTTTAAAATGTTCAAATGAATTTTAAAAAATCTTTAATACATCTCCCAATAATAATGGTGTTAGCAGCATATTTGTGCAGTCATTGATCCTCTAACAAAAGATTAAAGCTTATTTCGATTAAACTGATAGGACAGAAATATTTGAGAACTAGTGAAAAAAAATGGAGATGTTTTTATTAAACATAGAGTTCCACCACTCCAACTATGAAAAGCTAATGCTTGCTTTGATAATTTCTGTACAATTTTAAGGGAAACATCTTTATATGGGTATGAAAGCTTAAATAGTTAATGTTAAACATGCTTTAATACATTGTTATCATAAAAAATTATGTAGAACATGCATCAGGTCTAAACACAGTATGGTCATGAATTCTGTCAGTACATCTAATAATGCAAATTACTACTAAAGAAAACTTCCGAAAATCCTTAACCCTTGTACCATATCTGCAATTTGCCCACAATTACTATCCCTGGGGTATTTTTGGACGCCAAGCTTTACTGGCCATTGGAAGTGGTAAACACTAATGTGTACGGCAATATACCAAGTGTAAATAATTGTTTCTATATAAGTATACATTCTAAAGTGATTTTCATAATAAATATAATTTATTAGTCTTAAATATGTAATATAAAGATGTAACACTACTGTACATAGTCTCCGTTGTTACATAATGATTCAGAAATATTTATAATAGTTTTTGAAAGTTATTTTAAGATATATATTGTATCAGACACAGGTTTTAAAGTTCAGGGCTATATTTCAAGTGAGAATGGAAAAATAACAAACTATAACTTTGGTCAAAGCAGTCTCACGTAAATAATAATAATAATAATAAATAATAATAATAATAATAATAATAATAACAATAACTCTTAAATAAAATTTGGGAAATGGTTTGATAACTGCTTAATAAGTGCTCAAAGGTATACAGCGTACAATCTAGATTAGTTGGTTTTATTTTGAAACATCTTTAAAGCATAATAATGAAGTTAGATGTTTTGTCCACATACGTCCCAGTATTTACTGTTTACTTCAACTTATTACTTTAATGCTATAAATAAATCAAAAATAAACTTTTTATTTTAAAAAGAGATTTCTGGGGGACATAGCAGAAAAAAGGGACCATCTAAGAGCGCTGTTCAGTAGGCATTGATACAGTACCTGTATATTTCCATTAGAAATAATTGACCTCAGGTGTAAAAGCTAACAGATTGTTTATTGGGGGTTTTACAAATTTCCTGCAGACAAACATTTCAGGTTTGTTTGAATCTATTGAAACCCTCACATCTATGTGATGGATCATTTACATTTTCAAACACCTGTTTTTAATCTCCAAGGAGACAGATTCAAATCACGCAAATGTTCTCCATTCACATTTTGAAATGTTTTTTCTTTCTCAATACTTGTAACTGATGTTCCAAGTAGCGATAAACATGTAATGAAAATGTCATGTCTGTGTCTCTCTGCTTGCCTGCCTGCCTGCCTGCCTGCCGGCCGCCCGCCCGCCGGCCCATGTAATATTGTGTGTGTTGAATGTAATCATGCCTGTAATGCAAACAAGGCAAAAAACCTTGAGATATTTTTGGCATTTGTAGGCAAAACTTTACTGCTGAATATCTTGCAAAATATAAGGAATGATGATGCAAATTAATGAGACATTGAGAGTGTAAGGAGTCTGAAAATCCAAATATTAATTAGATCAACTAAATTTTGAACAATTCAGGAATTTTTTTAGAAAATAAAGCAGTGAAATAGGATAGGACATTGTAGATAAGGGTCAAAAGACACTTGGGAGGAACAAAAATAACAATGGAACATATAAACCAGTTATGTCAGATAGGAAGTGAGAGAGAACAATTTTGGTTACAACTATGCTGCATTTGATAGAAGAAGTATCAATGGCTGTCGGGGCATATTTTGTAATTGGTCCATGAAGATAGAAAATGGATATGTGGTCCAAAGATATAAGAGAATAGGGAAGTAATTTATTAAAGAGAAAACATTCACATTCGTGGAATATTAGGCCACGAATTCTAGTTAAATTTAAAAGTTAAATTCAGTGTGGATGTAAGGAGAGCTCCAGGTAGATGTATGGAACAGTGGCTGATTTCAATGACGTCAAGATTGCAGAGAAGAATCTTCAACAGGGAAATTTAGATAATAAGCGGTAAAAAACTTCAACAAAAATACTGTATCATGGCCAAGTTGTGTAACGGTAAGGTAACATTAAGATAAAGAATTGTAATGTTTGTATATAAAGATTCAATGGCCATCAAACAAAATTAGGGAAAGATAAAGAACCATTGTTGAACATCAAAACTAATTAGTAATTAAAATAAAAAAGTTTGCCAGGTAAAGCTAATGCTGTTTAATTTGTGATTAAGAGTAGTAATAAATATTTCCGAACTAAATTACATTATTCACCAGCTGAATACTCGTTTGAGCGGTGTTTTGGGGCCCACGATATATATATAAACCTAAAATTTCAAATTACATTGTTGATTACTGTTGGGACATGCCTGGTGAACAAGTATAAATTCACCTATTTATATAAAATTGAATATAATGTATAATATGACACCTCTAACAATTTTTGAACAGCTATTGGTGTCTTGTCCTTTGCAAATGTATTTAAAAATTTCATTCTATTCAGACTTACGTCTCTACTTCATGTTAAATTACAATATCTAGCAACGCAGACACACTTGTGTGTGTTTCAGCAAGAAGAGAAGTCAGTTTATTCATGCAGAGCTGATTAGTAATGGTCACTATGTCAGCAGGTTTATTATTTTACCAGAGATTGGACTTACTGAAGTAACTGATGTACACATTTTCAGAATATTTTGCATTAAATACTAAAATGGGGATGAAAATGACCTTTTATTGTAGCAGTTTTGATCTCCATGACAAAAAGTATGTTTCTTTTACAATAGCATTTCATTAAGTGATTTTGGTTTCGTTTTCAGCTGTTATTGGATATTGAACAGTGTGATCTGCATGCACGTACGCAGCTAGGCCAAACACCACTGGATTTGGCTCAAGAAGAATATCGAAGACGTTCAACTCCCCAGATGGCTCTTATCCTCCTCCAAGCTATGAACAGAAGGGAAGAGAAGTCTACATCATAGCAATGGCACTCGTTTTGTGTTTAAAAGTAAAATACTCAGTCTGAAGAAGATAATATGAAGGAAAGTGAAGTGCTGTGTGCGATTTCCTTTTTCTTCAGTAATCAATTTACATTATTAAGTTTTCAGAAATTATATCAATTCAGAATTGCTGAATGTGCTGAAAGTATACAATGTTTGAAGTTTAAATGTGAATTGTATTAGTTCCTATTTATGCAAAGAGGTAAAAAGTGGATTCCAGCATCATATTTTCCAGAAATTTCATCAATAGATACTGCTTAGTTTTTAAATCGGTCTTCTTAACATGCAGTTTTTATTTGTACTTTATCACTTATGTAATATATTTCAGCATGGTTCTCTACAATCGATTTGTGATATAAAGAAAGTAAAGAAAAAATGTATTCCTCAGACTTCTTTATTAGGATCCTGAAATAAAATGGGTACTATTTCTTGAGTGAATCTCAAAGGCAAACATAGCAATGTTTATGAATATCAATATTTTTAAATTATTTATTTCATTATGTCCATTGTTATATATATATATATATATATATATATATATATATATATATATATATATATATATACACACACACACACACACACACACAAATCTCATAATGGAAAGTGGAATAAAAGGAACAGTTTATGGAGCCCTGCACAGGTCTTCAAGTAGACGGTATTTGCCCAAGATCTTGTGGGTTCCCTTTCCAGTTATATGTATTTATCGACCCTTTGGCATTCCATGTGCTTTATATCAATTCCATGTAATTTTTCATACTCTCAAGCATGAATATCACAATTTTCAAACTTGTGCAGTAACAGCAGAAGCATTTAAAAAACTAAAAGAATATAATATTGGCAAAATCAGAGCTGCATTAGAAATATTCTTCTTCAAGGGTGATTATAAAACATACTGCAATTCTCAATTATATTCATAATTACTGATCAGGTTAACTAACAACCCAAGTGATTTGCAGACTGATCCATTATGGAATGTACGTCCACTTGTCAACTGTAATACTGCTACACTGCATAGTTTATGCTACTTTGCAGTACTAAGGATCTGACCACAAAAATGAATGTATCACCAATGGAAGAAAAAAGGGATACAAGAAAATAAAAGCCCGTAGATTTTTTGGTATAAGCTGTTTGGTAATTTCAGACAAAAGAACAATGCAGAAGTGATAAATAACATGTCTTATATAGCAGCAAGAATATCAATCTTGTATACAAATTGAAACAAAAGAAGGAATCAAAAAATATTTCGAGAGGAAATACCATTTAAATTTGTTCAGCAACAAAATTGTTGTTCCAACATACATATTCTCAGTTAACAAACATGCTAGCCTAAAGCAGCAGAAAAACCAGCGGTGCCACTTGTTGTAGAGAAGCTCTCTTAGTACAAAAACATGTATTTTAGAATGATAGCCAATTTGTTATTTTTGTAAATTCAGATCTGAAATATAATATAAAGCATATATAGTTTTAATAAAATAATCTCAATTGATTCTTCAGTTATTATAAACTATATGTCAAAAATAGCATTTCTGTTTTGCTCATTGGTTTTCTCTTCCCTTCAAATTATTAAATACATTTACTCCATAATAAGTAAAGTAAATTCAAAAATAGCTGCATTCAATTAAATATTACAGTTCAATATGAGGCTAAATAAGTTCTCAGGAAGGGAGATACTTTCTTCCTAATGATGTAGAAAGGTACATTTTCTTAACAAGTGCCAAAGGGAAGATACAATGTAGTGCTTATATGAAAAACCAGAATACAAAACTTAGGAGAGAGTCGAATCAACTTAACGATTTTGATATTTGTTCATTGGGCTTACAATTAATGGGAAATTCATTAAGCTAACACAAACTGCTCAATTGGCTCATTCTTATTGTAAACACCCTCATTATCTGAGTCACTTCTACAGAGAGAAAACAAAAACAAGTACATATATCAAATTCTGTACACATTAAAACTCACTAAACACATTTTTACAAAAACTGCTACAAAACGCTTGGAACAGAAGAAATGGCCTCAGAACCATTCTGCATCAGTCACTAATCATTTAACTCAAAGCAGAACTTTTGTCATTGGTGCCAGCATCACACAGCTACATTAAGTCTTTTCCAAGTTCTCTGAGCATTCCCTGCCAATCATTCGAGATCAGCCCAGCACACGACAGGAGATGCAGTTGATGTGGATGTTACCTGTTATCTGAATCCATGACCACTTGCTTCAGTAGACCTGCACCTAACTGACTCTTCACTTCATGACTTCCTAACGTAGTAGTGCCATCTTTGGCAATAAATAATTTTAGGCCGGAAGCTGAAAAAGTAAGAACAATGAATTTGTATTTTATAAAATAATCAAAAATTAATAATTAAATTGATACAGTCTATTCAATTGTGGATGATGTAAACATGGAAAAGTTGTATTTAAGACTTTAATTTTGTAACTATGGTTGTTTCCTAACATTTTTATTATTACTCTTTAAGAAAACATTTCAATGGCTTAGTTGTCACCATCATCATCATCATCATCCATCATCATCATCATCATCAAAGCTGCAATATGCCAGTCAAGAATAAGCTGTATTGGTACATTTAACTCTAGTTCCAGTGGAGATTCAATAATAATGGCAAAGTCATTAGAAGCTGCTTAGCACATTAACAATAGTGTTGGTTAAGATGACAACCTTGATTATTTCTCTCTTGCCAACTACACTTTCTGAGTATAGCAATATTTTTTTCCCTTACTTTCTGCTAAATCATCAGGCTGTTCTAAATTGGTAGCACGAAGAAGTTCATCTATCAGACTGTCAGGATTAGGTCGAGTTACTTCTACGCGACCACCTCCTCCTGTTGTTCCATCATCCCCACCAACGGCTTTTTTCCGTCGCTCCAATGCTGCTTTGGCTCGATCTAATGAGCCTGTTTCACTTAAACCAGAACCAGAACTTGGGTTCCTGCAGAAAAAGACAAAAATTTGCAAGTTGGAGATGAAATTCCATTTTTATGACGAATGTTTGGACGAAAAGCTTTTCTAAGAATAGCATCCAGTGAACCGTAATAATATTAAAAGATGCTGAAAGCAATTTTAAATTAATATATCTGTCAATGTTATATTAAATTATTACTGAATCATTTTTAAATGACAACACAAATTTCAGGAGTCACCAAGTCTACACTAGACAACAAATATAAGATGAACATGCATCAATATTTCAGCAAAGCAACTACTAACATATACCACAGACATAATTGAAAACAATTCTAATTTTGACAATATTTAAAAATATGTTTCAGCCTGAAATTTGTGTGCCCATAAAATAAAATAAACCAAATTAAAACAGTTTTTATTTACACTTATTTTTTAATAACATTAAGTCAACATTTACAATCTCTATGTTTAATACATACACATATCTACACATCTGAAGGCCTGGCAATGCATAAAAGGGCATTACAAATTAATAACAGTGATATGTAATGGTCACACTTGAGGTGTAACTCAAACAGGATATCCATCTTCCCTCGAATGCCCATGCATCTATTCAAGTGCAATGTTTTTTATAACTAGAATTATTAATACAGAATAACATGGCTGGACATTGGACATAATGAAGAAATCATGCTACAGTAATATACATGTACATCCTTTCAAGAAGTATCTTACAAGATGTAATAAATTGTATTAGGTCAACAACAAGCAAATAAGATGAAAGCGTTCAACAAATATACATGCTCTGCAATGACAAAAACTTACATGCAACAATTGTACAGTGAAAGACAAATGAGGAACAATCAGCTGTGCCAATAATCTCTCATTGGTAACAGTTACAGATAGATCAAAGGATTCAGGACTCTAAGTAAAAACTAATAATAATAATAATAATAATAATAATAATAATAATAATAATAATAATAATAATAATAATAATAATAATAATAATCATAATAATAATAATAATGAAAGAAAATATTGTACTATGTGATTTCACTCACAATCCATCCTAATATGCAATTATTTTATAGTTTGGGAGTTTTGTGCAGCTGGGACGTAACATATTATTATATCAATAAAATTTTTAAATGACACCAATCACAATACATCACCACTCATAATATTACATTTTTCAACAGAAAGAAAATTAGCATTGCTTCAATAATTTAAAGCCTTATTTCAAAATCATTCATTACTGATGTTATTGAAATTGTTTCACTAAATAGATAGAAATTGCTTATTAAAATATATTTATTATATATTACATATGTAAGAGAGAGACCTTTTCTTAAATTGTCCTTATTAATTTTTAAGAAAAAAACTAATAGTTACGCCTCTGTAGTGGAAATGGGGGCAACAAGCTAAGAACATACAATCAAACATGCACCAATAGCTCTAGCAACACATCGGTGCAGGGCTCGCTCTAGGAATTAGCAAAGAAAATACTATCTGTTTTGGGATATAACTTCGAACACCATTATAAAGACTGTAATAAAACAAGGTCATACCATTTCTTTAAAATATGTAATTCAATCATTTGTTATGCTCTTGTTGATTTTTGGAATTTCCTTTTGTTTTATTATTTTCAGATTGAACAAAACTAGCAATATATATAAATATGTCAAAAAGAAAGTGCTTCCTTAGATCAGTTCAAAATCAATGTATTCCAGTTGCAATAAATTTATAATTTACTAATTCATAAGGAGAATATAGTAGAGCAAGCCCTGCATAGCAGCACCAAACAAAGACAAAGCATTAGCAGCAAGGCCTCTGACACAACACTGCACTGACACTGTGCTGCTGCGTCGCTGAATGGTTGCCACAGGGGGCGGTGGTGGCAATGACAGCAAGTCGCTCTCCTCAGGTTGGTCATCGGGACTCGTTGCTACAGTTGGCAGCTTTGAGTTGCTCTCGAACAGCTTTCGGTGGTGATGTTGGGACCTGTAAGTCCGCCAAGCTTGCCCCATCATTCAAGAAGCTTGCCCATTCATTCCGACCCACTGCCACCAATTTACAGAAAGCATAAGAGAAAAAACATAGAGTGGGGACATAGAATCTCCCTTGCAGTGTCACCTTCAGCCCTAATTCACGTCAACAGAAAATCTTCCTGTTGAAGAGGAGAGACAAACACACAATAATGTACATCTGTGCAACTGGTGCAACAAGAACAATTCACAAGAAACTTAACAGGATATACTAATTTGAAACATGTATCTAATATTTATATACTTGAACTCGCACTTTGAAAAAATGTGTAAAATTGAGAGAACATACTGTACATAAACACAGAGCAACATCAACTCAAACATACAATACATTTAATCCTTTACCTCCATGTGAAATGCACACTAAATTTAGAATTTCCACCTCCCTCCAATTTATTTTTTAACATACAGTATAACCCCAATATAAGAGGCTTCTGGAGAAATGCACACCACACCCCTAAATTGACAAATGAAGAGTTTTTTAAACATATATTCGCTTATTTATTTTTTAAATATTGAGCCTAACCTCATTATCTGAGAAATCTGGAGACAAGATCGTTGTCTCTTAAAGCCAAGAGCTCTTACAAGTGGGAAATGCTCATATAAGTTCATTAAATTTTCACATAAGGTTCTTACATTTTCACTGGATTTGATAGTGAGAACTGTGTCAAGTTCTTTGATATTGACATTGAATTTCCTTTTTTTAGATTGGAATTTTCAAACAAATCATCTCTCCATCGAGATGCTGTCTACCACATAAACTGAGCACTGTTCACCAGATTATCAATGTTAGTATAAAAATGATTACGAAAATTTCTCAACAAAGTATGTGTGAAGATGGTGAGCCTAACACCTTGTCAAGTACTGCACAACTCACACGGATTTTTCTCACCTGAACGCAATCAGGGCACTACCATGAACAAGCTCTTGACAAGACTACTCATCCCTGTGTTCTCCACAAAACCAAACGAGTATAGATTTTCACTTCTCATGTAAGAGGAGAGTTATTGCTGAAATTATACTTTTGTGCCTTCAATTGACAAGAAATCTTCTCTTAAATATGGAAAGAAAAGCCTGTAATTTCTACAGGGACACTCAGAGCAGCTATATTGTCCCCTACAAGTGGATCCTCTAATAATGGAGTTCTACTGTATTTATTTTCTCTGAGGATGTGCTTCTCTTTCTCTGTGCTTCTTTAAAAGATTTATTTTTGTAGAACTATTGTCAAAAATTAAAATCTTCATTCTTTTTCCAGAGAAATTTAATCTCCATGAAATGTATAAATACTGAATGCTCACAGCTGAAAATAGTTGTGTCTTCCTCATGAGTTGGCAAGAATTTGCAACAACAAAAAACAACAACAAATGAACACACAGATACATTTTTCAGCACTGTATTAACTTATTCCTTAACTTTCTTTACGAAGAAAAGTAAAGAGTAAGAGTTGAAGACAGAGAATAAATTGTATCAAGAGTAATGAGTCAAGGCTAAGATCTACAAAGGACAGCATCAATGAAGAAGTCAAAGAAGTTTATAAAAACCATGAATAATAAAATTTTAAGATTAGATTGAAACGTAACATCCAAGAAGAAAAAATAATCAGAAGAATGAAGTATTAATTTTAACTCTGGACCAGTCAAAAGAAAATTAATATTACTGATAAAACTGAACTAGATCCAGCAGATGGTTATTCAGCTTTAGATTCATGGAAACACAAGTTTCTCAATTTTACATATTTGAAGACAATCATGATGAATCATTTATTCCTATTCAAGAACCTATGTATTCTTATAAATGAGGATCTATTTAAAAATTTAGAAGAAATAACTTTGAAATGAGCCAAAAATAATGAATTATTCCTAATAGTATCAAAAACAATTAATGATATAATGTTACATCTCAGTTTTTTCTTGATCAAACACTTTACACCCACACATCACAAACTTAAAAGCACAAATGAATATAGAGGAACATTAAGCTAGCCTGCAGCATAATGCAACTGCTTTCCAAGAAGTGCTGAAAATAAAGTAGCTGAAAAAAATTAAGCCAAACCACCAGAACGTTAATTAAAACAGCAAGAACAAAGCTGCCCTGAAAAGACATGTAAGAAGAATATTTACCCTTACCTTTCCATTAGATTTCCAGGACTGTTCCGTCATTCCTGGAAAGTCATCTGCTTTCCCCGGAAAAGATCCTTGAGGATACTAACCAAATGCCTATTCTCATGCAAGAGTTACAAAACCCACGATTTACCTGAACTTCGACCAGTGAAATATTTCTACAGGTAAGCCTTTACGTTAACTGTGGGTCTACTTTCCAGTTCATAAACCAGTTCCAAGTCCAGCCTGAAGTGCATTTGAAATATTGATTTTATTGATCACTTGCCTACCTTTCGTTTCTATTATTTTATTTTATTTCAGTTTTTCTATTTTCAAAAGGAGTGAGGGGCATAACAACTACGACTGAAAATTCAGTGATGTAATATAAGAGCTCCCGCTTGTGCCTACCTTCTCGTGTCATGACAGCTGATATAGGCCTCGGCATGGATGGGCGATGAACTGGCAACGGCTGGGCTGAGCATGCCAGGGGAGGAAAAGGCACGGGGCGCGGCTCGAGGGGAGGCCCAAGGAGGGAGGCAACGCAACGCGCAGGCTGTAGGAGACAAGAGCATCCCTGCAGGGGGGCGTGTGGAAGCTGCTGTCGAAACGGGTGTTGCCGAGGGACCCTGGCTGCGGTGGCGAGTGACGGGCGAGGGAGAGGCTGAGGAAGGCAAGGGCAACAGCCGTGGAGCCCACACTGGCCACGATGGGGACCTACACAAAGCAGGTTCATGCACACACATTGACAGGCAGTAACATCAGATGGGTTCATTCCCCAGGGAAGAAACCACTGCTTGAGGGTAACAAGAACAAATGCACCGACAAAATACTTTATTATTTTATTATTGCACAATCAAATAGTAGAAATTTCATTTCTATTTTGTATTTTTGCATAAAAAAAAAGCTATAAAAGTGTGCAATCTACAGTAAATTTTGAAAAACAGGTAATTACCACCTTTGACTCAAAATTAAGAATTCCAAAATTCAGTTTTGTGCATTTACCTTGTCACCTCATTCAGTAAATTAGTTTTAGATAATTCCTCAAGTTGCTGATCTACAGCAAGCACTTTCACCTTTTGGCATTCAGGTCACACTACTATTTAAAAGGACATAAGCCATGAAATTTTAGTACTCTAGGAACCCAGTTTACAATGTTATTAAACCCAGTTCTTACAATGCAACAAGATGCATATGGTTGGTAAATTGTACGACCATATACAGTAAATACTTTTTCAAAATTATATATTATAAGGGAGTAAACACATCTAACTAAGTGGTTCTAAGTTACTATTTGACTAGAGCAATCTGGAAGATCCATCTATTTAAATTGTCAGGGGCAGAAGATTTAAAGATGTGCAATAAAAACATTCAGTCACACATATTAGTTGATTGTGTTATTAACACAAAATTGTTATTTAACGTAAATAAATTTCAATACATTCTACCACAAATAATACATAGTACACACATTAATTATGATTTTGAAACATAGTCCAATAATCCTAGACATATTTATTGCAGAAGTAAAACTGCATGAAACTAATGAATGTTTTTACTGTCACATACTTTAAAATCACTATTTGTGATTGAAATGAAGTTCTCTCACTCAAAAGAGCAATGATATCATTTTCTTCCTTCTTTAAATAACTAAGTCACCAGAAAACTCATGAGAGGCAAGAAAAAGATATATCACAAATTTAAAAACATACATTAAGAGATTTCAAAATGACAAAATGATTACAATTTGATGTTCTCCCAGTTGAACAAGAATACAAATATGTATATATCCACTGCATTTTTTCCAGAACTATAATATTCACAATATAAAGTACTAATGCTACTAAATGCACAAAACAATCATTTACAATATTTTATGAAGAGAAATGGACCTAGAACAAGCACACCTTGATAAGAAATTAACAAATACACATTAGTGTTTGAGGTAATTGAATAATTTATTCTCTGAAACCTGCACTCTGAAGGAGAGAATGCTATATACATTCCTAGAAAATTTTGTACTATGATTACAGTTTTGTCAGAAAAATTAAGAATTGTATTTAGAATATAAACTGTATTATGTGTAATGAATAAAGAAGAATCATGAAGTAAAACAAAGAATTACAATACCAAGAATTTTTATTTTATAGAACACAATAATTCTAAAAATTTATATTAATATTTAATTAAATAATATAATTTTATATTATAATTTTAATAAGAAATCCACATGAAATAAATGTATAACTGTATGGCTCTAATGTTGAAAATATTATTTCTTTTCTATCTACTCGTTCAACAAAATAATATTTCAATTCATAGTACAAAATACTTTTCAACACCAAATGGTGCTATGTAGCTCTATTATGGCCATGTTTTTCAAATAGTCTTAATCTGTTTCATTGAATTCCAAGACAATTTCATTAAATTTCAGTAACAATGTCAAATTCAGGATTTCTTCTGACAAGATAGAATATTCAGTATGGTATTTTTACACTGAAAAGAACAGAGAATGCTTCTTTTTCCAATAATGATGAAGGATGAGGAAGGATGAATGCATTTTACATTCATGAGTTGAAGTCACAAAAGCTATGAAATAATTGTTAGTTGAGAACGCAAACCAATAAATACAAGATTCTTTCTGAAACAAAAACAATATTTCTCTACATGAACTGATATATATCTTTCCAAAATTTGTCCTAATAATTAACATAGTGCACTTTAGTCACAAGGAGAAGGACCAAGAGCCGACACAATAATGTAAGAGATGTTTACTTAAAATTAGTTTACAATAGTTAAATATCTCTCGTGCTGATGCTCCACATGAAAAAAACAACAATTTATTACAACAGCATTGTTTCATAATAGCAAAGCTTTACACATACAAAATCATTTTCAATGAAACATCCAATATTTTTGCTACACAAAGCGTCTATACAGCACTTCCTAAAAGCTCTTAGAATGTTATAAAGAGCAGTGTCACTCTCTTTATTCTAATCACAGAATCACTCTTGGCATCACTACAGAATGAGTAATACTGCTAGCCACTAGTAATTAATCTTTACTCCGATCAAGCACTAAAATTTACAACTAAACCCACAAATGAAACTCACCGTATATGTCCTGAATCTCCAGATGAACTTTGCCTGCTGTGCTGCGATTGGCTATTCAGTGAGCTATATCCTGATGCTCGACTCATCTGACTGGTATTGCTGGAGTTACGACTATGACCAAGTTCATGAGCTTCATCACCATCCGTCCCCAAACCAGGTTGGTGACCTTCAATTGCCAAACCAACAACTACATTTCCACTTGTGGTGGCCAACTCCCCTGTGTCCGTAAGTCCAAGTCCAGGGCCAGACACAAGATCTGGAAAGAAAAGTAAAAAATTTTAAATTTATTTTCTCCTCTATCAATTACTTATATTAACTTGAAAATCTCTAGAAGGAATTAAAAAAAAGTATTATGAATGTAGTTAAAAAAATAACATTAAAATAATATTAACACATTTAACACACTTTAATATTGTTTTACGGATTTAAATTTTGAGGATGAAACTAACTGTTGTTTCCAATGGCCCCAAAAAGCAACAACTCATAGATAAAATGTGCTTACTAACAAAAATGTAATGATGAAACATCAATAATTTTGGTTTCGTGCATCTCTTTAACAAACAAACAATTTTCTTTAAAAGAAAGAATAAACACAGGAAAAGATAACAAAGAGGAATGCTTATATATTATTTAAAACGTAAAGTCAACCTGAGGAAAAGAGAGGAGGGCGCTTCTTTGGTAGTGAACCAAATCCGGAACTTCCACTTGCTATCGAACCAGCCAGCGAACCACTCGAGAAGTCATCTCTACGCTCCGTTGTTTCGTCTGAGGCTGGTGCAACTGTCTTGTGCTTCAGCGATGGAGAAGGACTGAAAAAGAAAGGGAGGGGGGAGGTTCACAAAACCTCAAAAGTCACAAAACAAGTAATCTCTAGTACAGAAATTTCTGATTCATAAGCAATGTTAGCAATTAGGCATAGTTAATACCTTTAAAAAGGGCATTTTTATTCCTCAGGTCTTGAGGGGTAATTTAACTTTATTTTTAGTGGTTGTTGCTATCTATTAATCATATTCAATTATGATTACTATTACACCATGCTTTGGGAGCATTGTTGATACCTTACTATTATCTGGAAAGGCACGATATCCAATTCATTGCCAAAATTGAATGTCACCTTTACTTTAAGTTGTAAATTCACATTAAAAAAGCAATATTGATCTACTCTCCAAAACAAACATCATTGAAATAAAAACATTTTCTTATGCAAACTGAATGTGATACTAACATCCATTAGGTATATCGTGGAGTAAAAATAAGTTAAAAAGCAAAATAAGTTAAGCGCAAAAAATATTAGTAATTGCTTTCAATGATCTCCATGGAGGTCTTCAAGGAGAACTGTTTCAGCTGTCCAATAAAAATGTCTAAAATCTATGCATTAGGATTTAGATAGACTCATATATAATAATATGTCCAAACTGTCTGAAGAGCTTATTTTTGAAGTTTTATTGCTTGCTCCCTGGAACCGCAGTATATGACATTACAGGCATTTTACAGGGAGTCCCGGGAGGAAATGAAGCATTGAAAATAACACTTAAGCATATTTTGTCTAATGAACTCCTTTGACATTTCGAAAGGTTGAGCTGCAATAAACTCAATATTTGATTTGTAAAAAGGCTTTTTATGCAAAAATTTGCATTTTAGAAACATAAACACTCCAGAACCATAAATTGTTTATTATTTACAAAATAAATGAATATATTTGTTTACAAAGAAAAATTAACACAGAAATAAAAAAAAACAAAAAACAATTGAATTGCTTAAATTGAGTGTTTATTTCTATGTTAGTTTTTCTCTTTGTGAACAAATATATTAATTTCTTTTATAAAATAATAAACAATTTACATATTTATGGAGTGTTTATATGTTTCTAAAACCCTAAGTTTTGCATAAAAAGCCTTTTTGCAAATCAAATTTTGAGTGTTTATTGTGACTCAGCCATTTGAAATATCGAAGCAGTTTAATATACAAAATATGCTTAAAATTGTCTTAAAATCTAATTTTCAAAGTTTCCTTATTTACTCAATGGACCCGGTGCATATGAAGTGACAGACATTTTATATACACATATTAAAAGAACTATTATGGGCAACAAGTGACAAAGATTCAATTACTGTTGTTTCACTAAGTTGACTGCAAGCACTTTTAATGAAGTATTATGAATTTCAAATATGCGCAGAAATTGAAAGAATACCATGAAGCCCATGTATACAAAAACTGAGTTTTATACCGCTATTCCCATACCAAGCCCACTGAATGAATTCTCATTGCTTATGACTACAGTGCCAGCAGCGTATAAGCGACTCTGACAGTTCTCTCGCCTTTTGACCTGCCCTGAAGCAATCAGCTCGCGAGTATGTGTTTACTTCCTCACAGCCAACGTTCAGCGCTACCGCTCACTGTCATGTAGGTGATGCCGTAAGCGTAGTAGCGTGTGGCTGTCAGAGTTGCTTACTGCTGCCGCTGCGACAGCGTTTGACGGTCAACTGCAGGGCTCATAGAAGACGTCGCGTGCCATTACACATTTGCTATTTACACGTTGGAATGGATATGGAACAGCAACAAGAACAGAGTAAGAATTCTTTTGAATAAATTTAATTTTTAAAATACATTGATACTCAGGAACAAGGTCACATCTTCGATGCATTTACTGATGCTGGAGAGGGTAGAGACAATTATGTATCATACAATGGTCAATAATCAGGCCTTTAAACCGTTCAAAGATTGTTTTGTCTCAAGTGACTCTTGCTTAAGTGTTAAGACGAACTGAGCATAAACCAAGAGTGTCCCAACGCCAGGGACAATTCTTTAAACATACATACAGTACATACATACTAATAGCATCATACATACAGTACATACATACATACATAACATACTACACCACTGTGTGGTTGCCGTTTTTTTTGTAGAAATAGCGCGCACGGGACCTCCGCTGTCGTAAAAGGCGACTAAAAAGGAGCAGCTGTCCGCTGTCCTTTCCCCTAATCCTTATTTCCCACTACGTTTTCTCATCCGCAAGATCAATAGGTGGACTGAGTAGCTTTATGCGGCATCTTGTCCTATCTACGAAAATTCTTTCACACTTCTTCCAATACACTCTGCTGGCGGTAGCATAATAAAACGCTAAGGGAAGGTCACCCCCGAAAATAAACCAGTGATGGTTGAGTTTGAGCCTCAAAATTACTACTACAAGCGAGTCGAGCGTTTTGACGGAAATCTCGCGATTCTGATCGGACAGTGAAAGCCCGATAGCGTGCGGCTCCATGGATTTTGGGGGGAGCCAAGTACCAAGTGTGTCTGGGAAAGAATAGGAAGTGAAGTTTCTTGGAGTTGGGGAAGAAGATCGGGGATCCCTCTGCATTTTGCCTTCCTACCCAAGGAATAATGTCCGAGTGAGATAAGCCGTATGGGTCAGTTCATCCGATTGACTTTGTGAGAATGTTGTGACATGGAGGAGTACTATCTGTACTTAGCTTGATACAGTTGAAGGGAGAGACGGCGACTTCACATCAGAAATGGGGTGGTGATCTGAATACTGAATGGTTATGAAAGGGCCCTCGACGGAGGTGAGGCCTATCGGGGAACAAATGTAATTGGGCGCGAAGACTGTTGGGCACGGACACGGACTCTGCCGCTGACGTCGGTGTGGCCGGAATTCTGTGATCGTGGTAGGCCTCGGGGCGGAGGTGCGAACGCGCAGTTAATGATGTGATATTTGCTAAGGACGGTGGGAGGGGAGACGCAGGTTTCACCACAGACTGATGATCATTGGCCCCGAATGCTGATGATTGTGGTGGGGCCCTTGACAGCGCGGCGGGAGTTTGCGGACACAGTAGGCGGTGGACGAACTTCGTCGAGGAAAGAGAAACTGCTTGAATCTCGGGAGTGGCAGAGAAGAAGCTATCAGAGTCGGTGAGGAAGGAACATTCAAACATGCTGAAGTTCACTAGGGCACTGCACAACGCCTGATGAGACACACAACAAATCATGAGATGGATTGGCATGTCGTAGGGAGGAAGGACGAGGCCGCCGAGCGCACTCTAATGCGCCCGGAATCGTTATTTGTTAGCGCAAATGACGGAGGCACTTCCTATGCTGATATTTAAGGAGATCAGGGCGACCATCTTGAAAGATGCTGTGGAACTGCAAAGGTGAGGACGGAATGCAGCCGGAATACTGCTGTGGAGTTTGCGGAAATCTGGCAGGCAGCTCGAGATATCTGAACTATATCTCAAAAATGGGGCGAGTTAGCAAGAGTACAGACGCGGAGAGACGAAACGGACTCTCGAGATTCGCGACTTGACGAGCTGACAACGGCGGCTGAAGTCGGAAGCTGTAAGCAGGGAATGAAATACTGTTGAGATCTAGCAGTGTCATATTGTTACGGAGGGCTTACAGAGGCACCAACTGCAGTGGTCCGTCATACCGAACGGAACTACGCAGGAGGGATTGAGGAGGCGGCCGTGTTCGCATTGGGTGGGTAACTGCCGCGTTAGAGAGACAAGTAATTGTGGCGGAAGTGTTATCGTTGTTGGCGTTCGGAAATCTGGCTGCGACTGCCAAGGGACGGACAGGTCAACCTGTCCACCGATGGCGGAGAAGAGGCCATTACGTCAGGCTTGCAAAAAGCGCTGAGGCGAGGTGTGTGCTCTGCAAAGATAGGGAGGAACCGACAGGGAGTTTATTACGTGTCCGGCGTACAAGTAGCAATGAAGGAACTTAATTTAGATAACAGAATGAAGAGTTTCTCGCAGCTAAATTTAAATATTGCGAGGCCGGCCAGACCTTCTCAACGCAGAGGTGCGCCGAGATGAATTACGATGTTGCAATACTCCTGCGAGCAGTAAGAAATATTGTCGGTCCTTCAGGCCTGGGTTTCGGATGGACTAACCGAGCTGCAGTATGGATATGTGGTAATAGTCAGTCAGGATGTTTATGCAAGTCCCAAGGGATGGATTCATCACCTGGATCAAAGGTTCGGTGTATATTCTATAGTGTCTCTGTGCACCCAGTGCATGCTTGAGGAGTTCGAGAATTACTTCGATGTTACATAGATGACAGCGAGAGAAGAAGGCCTCTTATTCTGTGGGGACTTCAATGCATGGGCACGGAGTGGGGGAGCAGAGGTAACGAATGACGCGGGGTGGCTCTCCTGGACAGCCTTGACAGTTTGGATGTCTGCCCTCTGCAACACGGGGGCCAAGTCCGACTTTGTAACTGCATGGTTCGCAGCTCGGTCGTTTGACCTACGTTCGTGCTGTAAAGCATTGCTAGACGTATTGCATATGGGAGTTAGTTGCACATTATACACTAGTGACCACAGCTATTCGTGTATGAAGTGAAGAGCAGTGCATGTTCGAGCTTCACCAAGAGGTAGCAAGGACAAGCTGTTTGGAACCACAGGACGTTGATCGTGATTCCTTCATTGCCATGATGGAGGGCAACCTGAAGATATGTTGCCCGTGATCTGCATATATTGTAGAGAACCGTTATGAACGGGTATTTGACCTTGTGATGGTCAATGCAACGAAGGTCAAGGCAGAGAGAAGCCGTCCTCCAGTGGTACTGGTGCGACCTCAACGGCATCGCGGAACTTCGCAGGGAATGGCACGCGAACACTAGATTGACACAGCGCGCCTGGAGCCGCCCAACTACGAATTTCTAAGAAGCAACATTGGACGCCGAGAGAAGCTTTCACAAAATGCCATTAAGAATTAGTAAGTGTGTTGCTGGAGAGAGCTAGGGGAGGAGTGATGCTGCTGCCCCTTGGGACGCCGTATAAGCTGGTGACGGAGCTCAGGGGTATGTTCAGGCGACACTCCACT